TGTAATATATGTTATATTCAATGTAAATATTGCATTCAGCAGTTTGTAAAAAGTATGAAACTAATTTAAATAAATTGTTTTCCATCAATCACGATTCTTATCCTTGATCACTAAATTTCTCTAATATTGTTAGATTTGCAAACATATTTTTTTAGTTGTTACCGATAATGACTGTTAGCCGTAAGACTGCTATTTAAAAAAATAATTATGCAATTTTACTAAGGTTCACCAGATTAAAACTACTATATAGATACCGTGCATTGATTTTCCTTAGGCTCTGATGCTTTGAAATGTGGGATCTCATGCTTCAAATTAATTTTTACTGATTCATTCAAATAAAAGTATTAATTTAATCTGTTAAAAAAGAAAAGAAAAATCAATGAGTATTTTCTAGTATAATTTCCCATTCAAATAATGAAATAAATTGAAACTTCTTGTTTGATGAAATTGACCAAGACTTTAGATTATACCTGCTATGTGGTAAGTCATATGCAAGTTCCTTAACTCGGTGTTGAGCTCATTGATAGCTTCTTGCTAAGTTTAGAGATGCATCTGATGCCATTGATGAACCCAGCACTGAGTTTAGAAATTTACCCATGATCATAGTTGGTCCTCTTTATAAATTAGTATAGTGCACTAATCAAATATGGTAGGTTAATTGTAGTATTCATTAATTACAGGAATTGAAAAGCATTGATCAGGCAAAAAGTTTTAAATAATTTCTTATTTTAACAAAAGGAAAAAAGCAAAACATTTCTGCTTTAGAAAACAACTGATTTCACTAAGAAAATCTTGAGGCTATTAATTTATAAGAAGACTCTCCTGCTAAACACCTATTAAATTTGAATGTTTATGATCCTACTAGAGATGTTAAAGGAAATGGGATTGAGAAATTTTAATCACATTTGCTAAGATTAATTGATGTCCAGCGTAATCAACTTTTATTAATCAAAAATTAGTTTAAACTTTCTGTTGGTTACAATCATTCATCTGAAAATTCCATTCAAGATCTGGCAGCATCCACATCCTGCCTCCTTGCAAGGAGGACAAATTCCATTTCTGTTTCCTGAACCATTCTCTGCTTGATTTCGAGCGTTTATGAAAACAATAATTTAAAATTTTGTTCAGCAACAGAGCTGTTTTTGAGACTTGCCTGACCCTAAGCAGGCATAGTCCAGCATCATAACTGTCATGTGTGGTGAACATCACAAAACAGAGGACAGCAAGAAGGCTAAACAAGAGCCATCAGCATGTGTACTAAGCGACCAAGGGTACCTGGTTAACTATAAGGGATGTGAAACATAGATAACCTTAAAATCAAGGATGAAGACAGTTCCTGAATCGAAGAAAAGATATCTGGACATCTAGACCATCCAAATACCCCTCCATTAATCTCAGCCTTGCCGTTAACACAATCTCAACCACCTACCCAAATCCCCAGTCACCACCAAATTTCCTACACACAATGCCAACAACCTGACCGCCCTCTTCACATTATTCCTGTCGAAGTTTAGATTCCTCATCAGTCACTTATCACACTCCTTACAAATGTTTTGTCCAATCTAATCCCGTTCCCAAAAAATCCTTGAATGACCACAATCAATTCCCTTCCCATTTTCCTCTGAATGCAAATGGTGTTCAAAACCACACTAATGAACTGACAGTTTTACTAAGTGACAAAAATATTGACATAGCACTAATAAGCAAAACCCGATTGACCAGTAAATACGATTCAACATACCTAACTACCAAATCTATTGAACTGACTTCACCAATGGAGTAGCCCATGTCATCATATCAATCCATCTCCCATCACTCCTTCTCCTTACCTGTCCTTGATTTCCTATGACTACTACAGTCACAATTAAAACTCCATTATTTCCTTTAACAATTGTCACAGCATATTCCTAGTCTAAACATCCATTTCCAAATTCCAACTAAAACCTTTCTTTAATTCCTTACGACACCATTTCCTTCTATGTGCAAACCTTAATGGTAAACACCTCCATTAGTGTTTCTCGTTAAGAGTTGTCTGCACTTAACTCCCATCATAGCAAATCCTCTCACCTGACACTCTCAAACTAATCCAAACTGGAATTCCAACCTTTTAGATTTTTTCATCCTCAAAGATCTAGGGCCACTGAATTATTCTGTTTCAGGGCTCGACGATCTATCCTCTGATCATAGTCCGCTAATCCTTACCCTTTCCACATCACCGATTCCCAAATCACCTCCACCTTCATTCATAATGGACCCAGTTAACTGGAAAAATTTTGAACAAATAATAAACAAAATATTGACCCCAGAGTACCTCTAAAAACATCCCAAGACCTAGATGATGCCATAAATTCTTTCACCATCTCGATCCAACAAGCAATTTGAACTGCTTTCTCTCCTCTTCCTTCTCTGAAATACACCAAGAAAGATCCTTTGCCTCAAGACCTCACAAACCTTATTCATGCTAAACGAGGACCCTCTGGCAAAGAACAAGGCACCCTGACAATAGGAAATTGTACAATCACCTTTCCAAACTGTTAAAAAGTCATTGGCTACCTTCAGATCCCAATCTTTCAATTCCCACTTCTCTTCGTTATTTACTTGTGATAATTCTCTCTTTGGAAAGTAAAAAAAAAATCCTAAAATAACATGTCATTTTCCACCTCCTTTGATGTAATGATACCTCCTGGGCTTCGTCAGATGAAAATAGAGCAGACGAATTTGCTAAGCACCTATCCAAAATATTCATTCCACATCTTGAACACAATCCACTTCATATATCCAAAGCTAAGGATTACCTCTCTCCTTACCTTCTAAAGCTGTTAACCCCTATGAGATCAAATTTCTTATAAACTGAAACAAAGAAAATCCCCTTGATATAAGATCTGCTCATTCCCCAGATCCTTTAACAATTCCCTAAAAAAGCTATGATATTCCTTATCTACTAATTGTATCCTCCACACAACCGACTCCTCTACTTTATAAACACTCATTTTCCTTAAACCAGGCAAACCTGCCAAAGATACTTCATCCTACAGACAAATAAGCCTTCTCCCAATCCTTTTAAAAATCCTCAAACGAATCCTACCCATATTTAAATCCAAAAAAATTCCCTCACATTAGTTTGGTTTCTGTTCAGGACATTACACAGTTCAACTAGGCCTTCGTGGTGTTGACCACATATCCTCTGCACTTGAAAACAAGCAATATTGCAATATCTTGGGTCCAATATCTCTGCACCATCTTCACTGCTGATATTTCTACCAACCCGGATACCTTCCTGGAAACATTTGCTGATTATATTGCCATACTCACTCAGAATCTGAAATGGCATCTCTAAACCTGCAAAGCCCTCTTTCCCCAATTCCCCCAGTTATATACAAGGATTGGAATATTAAAGTAAATGATTCAAAGTGTAAGCATACCACTTTCACACTCAGGCTCATATTCTGTCCGCCAATATTTTTTAACTCTATACCTCTTTCTTTCTCAGACAAGTCTAGTACCTGAGCTCCCTTTTAGACAAGAGATTGATGAATCCTCATATCAGACTCAAAAGGCAAGAGCTTAACTGATGATTTGGACAATTAAATATACTACTGAACAGAAACTTTCAAATGAAAACAAACTACTAATCTGTAAGACATATTAAAACCCACCTGGACGTATGGACTTGAACTGTGGAGAACAGCTAAATCTTTGAACATTTAAGGTATCCAATACTTTCAATCAAAAGTTCTTTGAACAGTCAATTCCAATAGCCAATGCTGCATACAAATCACAAACAAGACCTTATATCATAATCTCAACATCCTATTTGTCCTCAACATAATTCCATCCAGATTCTCAAACTTTCATCAAAAACTTATCCGTCTTCCTAATCCCTTTCCAGCTCCAACCATCCATATTATCCCCTACAAAGGCTGAAGATTGGTTTTAAGTCAAGAACTACTGATTGATAACATAAAAATCTACAAATTTTTTGTAGAGGATGGGTCTCCCAATTACAGATTGTCATGGTTGGTGTAATAAAATACATAATTAATTACCTACCATAGCCAGACAAGAATCTAGAACTTGGAGCTTATGAGCAAAGTGGCTTACCCACTGAGATATCCCTGTCCTCTTATTGATTGATAACAAAAGAATCTAGAAATATTTTTCGTTATTGACTAAAATTTTGTCTCAACTTTTACCAGAAATTGAAAAATTAACAAGAATAGAACGTACCAGAAAGTAAAAGAACACAATATAATATGATCATAAAAACCACAGAGTTATTTTACTGAGTTGATTGATCTCAAGCTAAAATGTTATCCAGCTGAATGATAGTAATGCAAGCATGACAATAAATAACCAATTCATTAATCTAAAATATTAATGAATTGTTTCAATAAATAGTAGTAGTATTAGAGAACTGACACATACGTAATAGGATAAGCTGAGGGTTTTGATTAACAAACTTCCCTAAATGCTAGAATAAAATTAAGGTTTAACTAACTAATAGAAGAAAACTGTGTTACATTAAATCAGTGTTCCACTGAGACATAACATATAAAAGTATATTAATAAAGTTGTTTAAAAAGTAATAGGAAATAGGTCACTAATAACATAAGTTTTCATTATTTTTCTTTATTTGTCAACGTTTCGGTCTCTCGAGCCATTTTCAAGATTCTATCATGCACCATTTCATAAAATATTTTTTAATATATCATTCGTCTGAAGATCAATCCTTTATTCCACGGAATGTCGTTTTGATTTTTCCTCTGTAACACATTCATTCTAGACTGAGATTGAGTCTATAATGAATATACTACAAAGGAGAAATAAAAAAAATATTTTATGAAACAATGTGTTCGGGAATTTGTTAAGATGAATTGGTTAACCATGAATGTTTGAATTTTTTATATTACAATGTGAAATGTATTATTTTTAATTGCAGGCAAACCAGCTGTTATAAAAGGTTTTAAAAAAAAAACAGATGTTAATTATTATTGGTTAGAATTAAATGTGTGTTATAAACTCTGCTTTGTAAAATTTGCTGTAATATAATATAGTTTTGTGTATGTTTTTTTTTTTAAATTGAACTCAATCACTAATGATGGCTGTCAGATTAGTTGAGTAGTCTATTTATATCGTCGTTCTCGTTGAGCTCGCCAAAATCATGGATGTTTACATTGTCTACCGTAATTTCAGACAGTTTTCGGAGGGTTGGCCATTACAGGTTCTGCCGATAACTAAACACTTCAAACCTGCTATTCTGCAGCTGCAAGCATATCTATATCACTTCTTGCTAATCAACTTCTCATTGTTATTCACTTTTTGTATTACGAGAAACAAAGCATGATAGAATATTGAAAATGGCTCGAGAGGTCGAAACATTGACAAATAAAGAATAAAATGAAAATGAGGCATATGTTATTGCTGACCTGGGGCCACCTTTTAAATAAAAAATGGCACCGAATCTAAAAAATAGGACAAGAAAATTACATTAATAAAGAAATATTAAACATGCAATGGCTGTGAAGAATGTTGGATGTAAAACAGATTACAATTGAATGACTTAAATGACTGTTGAGAAGGGTATACTATTTAAAGTTGAATATTTAAACTGTAAAATACAATAACTTACAGAAATACTATAAAATTACAATTGTGTCCACTTTTGATTGCTAATTGAAAAATCTTTGATGTAATTCACAAACCTAACTTAAATACATTTGACTGACAACTAGAAGGTACTTGTAGTTTGCATAATTACCTAAGGTACAAACTACAAGTTATCTCATTTAATTTTTCAAAATATAATATGATTAATTTAATCTTTTTGTCCCAGAATCATGAAAAGCACCTAGGCAGTAAATATATTAATACATGCAAAAAGAACAATCTTCTGAAACAAATAGAATTGCTTAAGTAAGAATGAATTCAGTTGTTTCGTTTAATAGTGGATATTAAACAAGGGAAAAAGTGAAGCCTGTTCTAAAAATTTTAAAAACTTTTTTGTTTTTATTTTTGTATTTGTACCATAGATGGTCTTACCTAAGTTATAAAAACTGTTACATGAGCTTCATAAATTATTAACAGTATTATTATTAATCACATGATTGATTACATTGTGTAAAGTATACAATAAATATTGATATACAATAGGCCATGGGAATGAGCACTTCAACATTGAGGAAAGAGTCCAAAAATTAAGTTTACCACTGAGAAAGGTTCAAAAGTTAATTTTTCATTCTTTAATATTCTATTCTATTTACATTTTTATCTGAAAGCTGAATTATATATTTTTTCTTACAGAATTACTTAAAAAAATATATACAAATGCTTAATAACGAACCTTATGAATTTACTTCGTAGACAAGACCAAATATTAATTTAAGATATACAAGTATACAACATTATTTCTACTGTCTAAAACAAAACAAAACAAAAACAATGAAATTTACAAGGTTTTAATTTGAGCTAATTTATTTATCAATACTTTCTAACATAATTTTAATATAGACAAAAACAATTAAGAAAAAGCCATTGCCAGGTAACTTGAAATAATAGAGTAATCATTTTTATTTATTTCCCTATCCCTTTTTAAAATCAATAAAGGTAAACTTTAAATAAATAAGGAAGTTATTTTTCTTTATACATTAGATACATATAAAATCAATATATTTAAAATACAAACTTAAAACTATTTAAAAACAATACTATTGGTTAAAAATACATTAATATGTAAAACAAATTATATAAAAAGTAGCATTCTAGCAATAAATCAAAAACGACAAATCACCAACATTTAGAAGGTTATAAATCTGTTGTTTTTTTTTTACATAATTATTTTAACAATATATCATCATTACTAGTGAGTAACAAAATGCATTTTTGAAAAGGAATGTGATCTCAACATAAAATTAAACACATAGTTTTCATTTTTTTTTTTTTTTTTTAAATATGTTTTAGTAATTAAATCAGTCTCATTGTTGCTAATGCAATTCCTACTTCCCATATGTTCCATACGAACTATTTAATTGATCAATTTTTGATGGGTTAGGAAAAACCTTTGGCACGTGATAATCCTACAATTCAAAATTCATTTAAAAATATTTTCTTACATGCTACATAATTACAAAGCACTGAATTTAATTAAGATTAATACAATTAGTTATTTGTACAAAATATTAACAATAAAAATACATTAATAACAAATAGCACTAAAAGTAGTCAATAATTTCTTTTCTTGACAAAAACATTAATTAAATACAGTTCATTTAAGTACAGCATAGTTAAGCATAGAAAATCTGTACTCAGCTATTTTCTAAATGAAAACAGGAATACAATCTCTTCATATATCTTATTTAAATTAAACTATTGAACGTACTATTAGCAATATAAATAGTAATTTGATATTCGATCAATAGTTACTAATTATATAAGAAACATGAATATATTAATGACTTATTACGATCAAAAAGTATCTTTTCTAGGTAATAGGAATCATGCAAATTATAAATAAGTACCAAACAATTTTAAACAAATAATTTCATGATAAATTGACAATAAAGTGTTATTTGGAAATTACATATACTTAAAACAACTGTACAAATATGTAATGTCTGGCAGTGCTCCATTATATCGACAAATGATTCAATAACAGACATCACATTTAACTATAGACCAAAATATCACAAATGGACTAGGGTGCAGGCATACAAGGTGATATTTTAGACAGAACGAATAACCTTTCGTTTTTTTAAACAATAAAAATAAATATTTTCCCTTATTGCTGCTGCTTAGGGAGTACGAGACCAAGTGCTTTTTGTGCTTCACCTAGTGCACCAGACAAACCTCCAAGAAGAGCATCACGTTCCTCTGGATTTACTGATTGCAACCTTGAATGCAGTTGCACAACACTTTCTGCTGCCCTTTGTAGCTGCTCAGCCATTGTAGAAATCAACTGTTCTGATACTGAAACCATTAAATTATTTTTAGAACATACTTCTTGCAATTTAAAATAAGTCATGAGGAAAATTATACATCAATAACTTAAAAGTGATTCCATTTTTTTTTCTCAGAAGTTACATTGGGGCTAAATTAACAAATATATTAAATAATAAATTAAATACTTAACTTGAAATAATTTAAAAAAACGTTGTATTTTTTTTATATAACTGTCTAATCGTGCATTAATCCTTTATTCATAATAAATTCTAACCAATGCCAAACTCATAATAAAAATCACATTTCTCTGTACCAGCTCACTGCACTTTATTTATTAAGACTGCAAACAATAACAATAAGAAATTCTTTTCTTCTAAAACTAAAAGGCAAAAAGAATATGAGCTATGAGAACTGTTTGCCCAACTGCTGGTCCAGTCAAAATTATATCGAAAATATTCTACCTAGAATCTGGTTTTATTTCATGAATGGGTTGGGTTGGTCTGAAAGTTCTCAATACAATAATGGGAGTGCCAATTTTTAATATAAGGAAATATGGAGAAAGTCAACACTGATTTAGGCGTTTGAGAAATTCTTATTAATAATGTATTACATTTTTATTCATTACAGGAGGTGGGGTGGGCAAGCAGGCTAATGCTTGTGCAAAACATGCATTACTCACTAACTAACCATATGATAAACAAAAGTTTAGAAGTTATAAGATAAATATGAGTTGGTGTCACGGTTGGGAGGAAGGGACTTTTAACTCTGGCACCCAGGAAAATCACCTTATAAAAGGTGAGGAACGGGTGGGAAAAAAAAAAATCTTCATTCATTACATTATCAATGATAAATATCTTCACATCTACATATTAGTTAAATATAAAAAAAAAGTTATGGTAAAAAATAAACTGATGATACTTCTTCTTTCTCTACCTCCTTTGTGCCTTTAGGCGTGGAGGTGCCTCGATCCATGAATCCCAAGCATTTCGGTCCCGAGTTACCTCTTCTCTGCCCCGTCTAGGAGATGAACTCCATCCACAACAATCTAGGTTCTACCTCTTTAGTTCTTTCCTATGGGTCTTGCCTCCATAAATTTTTGTGGATAATAAAAATTAATCTCCAAAAAAATTTGTCTTCATTCATTCAGCATATATGCCTAAACCATTACACTTACCTCAATTCTATAGAATCCTTTAGTGAGACAGTACTTAGTTCCTCTCTAATCTTTTCATTTCTGATCCGGTCTCTCCTGGTTCGGCCGGCTACCCTTCGAAGACATTTCATTTCACTGTAGGTTAGTACTGGTTTTATTATTCTTAGTCTTATTAGTACTGGTCTTGTAAAAGAACAGATTTGTTGTTCGGGAAAGACCATTACTTGCATCAAAATCATTGTTATGTTCCACTTCCCTACAACTGTTCACACTGTCCGTTGTTTACATATCTTCAAAATTTTGTCCATATATATAACGGACGGTATGGGGTCCAAGTTGTCCCCATACTTTACACCACTACTCATGGTAAAAATATCTGAAACATTTCCATTTATTATAATTATGCTCTTTCAGTCCTGGTAAGTGAACCTTATAGCATCAATCAATCTTAGTTGGATATTTTTGTAAATCATTCTTTCAGGGTTTCCCTTAGTTCTTGTTTAGAGATGGAATCGAAAGCAGCCTTTATATTCAAGAATATGAGCAATACATTTCTGTTCCATTTCCAAGCCTTATCAATTATTGTTCTTAGATAATATATGTGGTATTGGGTTTGGCGGTCAGGCCTGAGACCTGAAAGCAGCTTGCTCCTGTTTCAAGTGTTCTTCCACTATTGCTCTTAGTTTCTTTTCCAGTATTGAAGTATATCTTATATACAACCTATGAGAGACAAATAGGTCTGCAATTTCAGTATTCACCTGTATTTCCTTTCTTATGTACTGGAACAATTACATTATATTCCCAACCCTCTGAAATAACTTTTTCAGTCATTAATTTCTGAAACAGGCACTGTAGGGCTTTCATCAGTTCAGGTCCCTATATTTAAAAAAATCTTGCACGATACTATCCCTACCAGCTGCCTTTTCATTCTTTAGTTTCTCTACTTACTGAACTTTCGACCTCATCCTTCTAGATTACCTCATAAAATTCTTGTGGGTGAGTTTCACATATATTTAATGCATTATCTGCATCATTGCTTGAGAAAACGACCGTATAGTGGGGTTTCCATCTATCCAGAATTTTTGAATCCCTGGTGATTAGTTTGCCTCTTTCATCCTTTATATTTCTTATAGGCTTACTTTTCTTTTGTTTTTATTGCTTTAATTTTTTCCATAAAACCCTCACATTTTCATGGGAGTTGTTCTGTAGGTTCCACCCAACTCTTCCTTATTGTCACTCTTTTTTTTTTTTTTTTTTTTTTTTTTTATTTAGAAATATTACATTCTGTCACATCAAGGACATTTATAATAGTGTTCAGAGAAAGCACACTCACACTCTATTTACAATAAAAAAAAAAAATAAAATAATACAGAAACTTAATAATAATAAATACAATAAATAAAATAAAAATAAATACAATAAAATAAAATAAATGTATATAAACAAAAGAACTAACCTAATCATACACACTCGGGCTTGAGTGGAGGATCTGGCCATTGCCAAAACTCCAATAGATGCTTATTTACAAAAGGTCTCTGGGCCACTGCCGCTTCAACCTTCGAGGAGGATTGTAAGGATGGGTGGTGCTGGATAGAGATTGTGCAAGGGGATTTGGATGATAGGTAAGGTTCTGGTGAAATTTGGAGAATTTTTCTGGAATAAGGTCTAGGACAAATGGGATATTAAGGTCATGGTGTAGGATTTTGTTATTTACATAGAACGGAGCATCAACTATTGTTCGAAGGACTTTAGATTGAAAGGATTGAATACGTTTGATGTTAGAAGCTTTTGCTGTACCCCACAGTTCAAGTCCGTATGTCCATATAGGTTTCAGTATTGTCTTGTAGATAAGTAATTTGTTTTCAATAGAAAGTTTGGATTTTCTGTTTAGTAGTCTGTATAGCTGGCCGTATCGTCGGTTGAGTTCTTGTCTTTTGAGTCTAGTATGTGGGTTCCACGTCAGTCTTCGGTCTAAATGAAAGCCAAGATACCGGACTGTGTCTGAGTAAGGAAGCTGGATGGAATTAAAGTGTACTGGTGGACAGGAACTGCGTCGGAGTGTAAAGGTAATGTGTTGGCATTTAGATTCATTAACTTTAATGCGCCAGTTATTACACCAGTGCTCAATCAAGGTGAGGTGGTTTTGGAGATTTAAGGATGCTATGTTGGGATCTGAGTCGGATGATAGAATAGCGGTGTCATCAGCAAAAGTTGCCAGGAAGGTATCGGGATGGACAGGGATATCGGCGGTAAAGAGGATGTAAAGGACGGGACCCAATACGCTACCTTGAGGAACACCTGCCTCAATTGGATAGCAATGCGAAAATTCAGTACCGCAACGAACTCGGAAGGTACGATCTGAGAGGTAGGAACGGAGAACAAGGTACAAGGACTGAGGAAGATAGTTTTTCAGCTTGGAAAGAAGCCCGGCGTGCCATACCCGGTCGAAAGCTTGAGCTATGTCCAGAAATGCACCCGAGCAATATTGCTTGCTTTCCAATGCTGCGGAAATATGATCAACCACTCGGAGTCCTTGTTGGACTGTAGAGTGTTGTGAACGAAATCCGAACTGATGGGAAGGAAGAGTTTGGGATTCTATAAAGGGTAGGATGCGTTTTAGGAGGATCTTTTCAAAGATTTTTGAGAGAATAGGAAGAAGGCTAATTGGTCTGTAGGACGTTGAGGTGTTGGGAGGTTTGCCTGGTTTCGGAAACAGGATAATAGTGGAATGTTTCCACAAAAGAGGAAAGTGGGTGGTTCGTAGGATGCTATTGTATATGTATGTAAGGAATATGACAGCTTTAGGAGGGAGTTGTCTAAGGATCTGAGAGGTAAGCAGGTCGTATCCAGGCGATTTACGGGTAGGTAGTTTTTGTAAAAGGAATTTGATCTCAGAAGGATTAACTGCTTTAGGCGGTAAGGAGAGTGGGATGGGTGAATTAAGGAATTCCTCTACTGCTGACGTGTGGGTGGGATTGGATTCTGGATGAGAGGTGAATGTAAGGGAAAGGTTTTTGGCGAATTCTTCGGCTCTATCTTCGTCAGATGCTGCCCAAGAGCCATCACCTCGACGGAGAGGATGTGATATGTGATGGGGTTTTAGGATATGTTTGGTGGTCTTCCATAGGGAATTGTCATGAGAAGAGAGGGAAGTGAGGTAGGAGTTGAAGGATTGGGATCTGAAGGTGGCCAATTCTATCTTTAGTTTTTTGCAAAAATAATTATAGGATTGGCGATCGGTGGGGTGTCTAGTACGTTGCCATAATAATCTGGCACGGCGTTTGGTATGGATTAGGTCTATGAGGTGTTGAGGTAACTTATTTTTCTTAGGAGTTCTTGAGGAGTGGTTTGGAAAGGAAGCAGTCCAGATTGCTTGTTGGATAGTGGTGGTAAAAAAGTGTACGGTATTGTCAAGGTCATCTGGGGTTTTCAGGGTCATTCTGAGGTCAATTTTATCGGTAAGGATTTGGTGAAAGAGTTTCCAGTTAACTGGGCCTCTGATGAAGGACGGTGGAGAAGACTTAGGAATAGGAGCTAGAGATAATTGGAGTAATAATGGACTATGATCTGAGGATAGTTCGCCAAGAGGGGTAAGGGAATGATTGAGGGGACCTAAGCCACTGTGGATGAAAAAATCAAGGATATCGGGATTGCGGTTAGGATCTGTGGGCCAGTAGGTAGGTGAGTTGGGTGGAAGGAGACTGAAACGTTGGGTATTGAGTGCAGACAGAAATGTTCTGCCACGAGAATTCGTGGTTCTTGAACCCCAAACTTGATGCTTGGCATTTAAGTCTGCACCCAGGATGAAATGATGACCTAAGGAGTTGAGGAGAGAACTGAACTGGACTTTGGATATGGATCTGTTAGGAGGGCA